CCCCCCCCCCGTCTCTCCCTTCCACTCTCTCTGAAAAGCAATGGAAAAAAATAAATCTGTTTCCTTTGTGATCTTATGTACTTTATTATAGGCATTTGAAAACATTCTGATAAGAGGCTCTATCAGAATGCCAAAAAGGGTACGTACGTGATACAAAAAGTGTTAGAAACTTCTAATCTCAACTGTGTGGCTAAAGAATGTAGAATGTTCTTTCTGAACTATAATCCTGTTTTCAACTAGTAATCATACACAAAAGTTTACCACAGAACAGCTTTTAAGATGTTCAACTTAAAAAAATAAACATTACAAAATAAATATTTTTTCTTAAGCCTTTAAAACCTTGTTTATATGCATTTACTAATTATAAGTCAACAGAAGACTAAATTCACATCTTAAGATATCAAACTGCAGAGCTTGATTTCATCAAGTGAACAAATAGGGCTGACTATCCTCTATACTCTAAAGTTAAAGAACAAATAGCTGAAAAGTCAACACAAGTAAGAACTTATAATACCAAAAATTCTTAAATCTGGTTATGCATTAATTTAATTTTTAGTGTTAATGTCATTATTTAGGTTTCCAGGAAGTTAAATAAGAAAAGTAAGCAGATTAGTTTTAAACAAGATGTAAACTTCAAAAAATATTTGTATGGTTCATGAAATTATAAAAAGACAAAGAATACATTAAATAATCCATGGAAAGCTTTTTGCACTGTTAACTCTTGTTTTATACATTAGCATTCACCACTTTCCTCACCTGCCCACCGGCTATAATGGCTCCAAAGAGATGCAATAAACAGCACTTGAGGCTTTCCTTGAGATGCTCGCTTTCCTGAAAACATTCTGTGAATATAATACACAAACAAACAAATAAAATTTCTCTTTAACAGTATGATTTATGCCTAAGGAATGTCTGACACTGAAACATTAAGAACTATTTGTGAAAAGGCTAAAATCTGTTCAAAGGCAAGGTTGATATGTATTTTCTCACAAGAAAGGAAAAGAGAAACCATCTATCAGGTAGTATTTTAGACACTTTATGCCATCTCATTTAATTCTCACAGTACTCCACATGAGGATGATACCTTGTCCCCATTTATGAATGAGCAAATGGATGTTCAGAATTTAGTATTTTGCCTAAAGTTACAGGGCTACTAAGTAACATCAAAATCAAAGTAAGAGAAATTAGAGCGGTTACTTACGATAAAAAAAAGGGACAAACTCCACGGTGAGAGAAGCTGGCTTGTATTTCTGTCTGCTCTTTTCCACTGTACTGAGCATTCGTCTATCATTAAGAAGAAGTTAATACCAAATTACATCATGGAAAAAAAGAAATGGCACAATTAAAAAAATAATTATAAAATAAATTTAATATCTTATTTTTGATTTGTGTACTGAATAATAAATCTTTTTTTAAAATG